GGCCCCATCGACTTCGCCACCCTGAACGTGCCCTTGCGAGAGCTGCGTGGTTTCCTGATGCGGCTGCCGCGGGCCCGAAGCTGTTGCGACATCCTCCCAAGGGTCTTGGCCCCTCGGAATCCCTTCTGCATGGTCTGATCGACTCCTAAGTGGCACCGAGAGTGGGCACCCTCAAAGTTTCACCTCCGCAGCATGCGGACAATAGTCACCCTGGTCGAAGAATGTCTGCTGAGCACCAGCCCTTTCGACTGCGAGATCACGAGATGCAGCCTCTCCAGCAGCGCGCGCAGAAGTGCGGCCGCCCATGGCGGCACTCGTTCAGCATGACCACAATGCCCTTGTTAGCGCTGCGGTATCGTCATCTACATTAAACAAATAGAAAATCCGAAACAACTCTGTATGTGCGTCCAAAGGCTCTGTCAGCATCAGTGCAAGCAGCGACGTCGCAAAGCCGCAGCCACCTACACTTCCTTGCATGGCCGCGACTGGAGCACCCACCACACCGAGCACCTGCACAATGCGCTTGCCACGACAGAGCGAAAGAAGCAAGCCTAGCTCGGCGAGGCTGAAGCCATACTTGACTGCAGCCTTCGCTGACAAGAGGTGGCAGACCTTCTCGTAGGCCTTCGTCAAATCTATGAGCGCGGAACCAGCGCACCCCCCCGCGCGGAGATACCGGTATACCCCCATGCTCTGCTCCCACACCGCCCGTTCGCAACTACGCCCAGCGACCCCGCGGCGGCGCGGGCGGCGACTGTCGCGCCCCCACTGCTTAACTTCACGCCGCGCCAGCTTAGGGAAAGACCCGAGAAGGGGTGGGGGGCAGAGCGATAGGTCTGGAGCCTCCACCATTGGGCTTGCCTAGCATCGCGAGGATCGCGGTCAGGAGGAGGGAGGGGCACGCGCCAGGAATCTCCATCTTGTACCACAGATTCCCAAGGATGTTGAGGAGCCCGTCGGTGGCCTTGTCTAAGTCCCTCGGCCTGAGGACGTCGATCCCTTGGGCCGCCCTCTTGCGGAACTTCCTCATGGCACCCCTGATGTCCAGGGCAGTTCTGGCAGGCATGCAGAGGTCCGACATCTCCGCGACTTGCGACTGAGCCTCCAACTGGACCTGCCCCGTGAGGAACTGGGCAGGGAAGGGGTACGTAGTAGCGCTGTCCTGAGGTCTCCCAGATATGGCTCCAAGTTTTCGCGAGGGCATCAACTTGGCCCTGGGGCGCCAACGGGGCCAGCATGCCTGCAATGGTCCCATGTCCTGGCGGGGTCCATCCAGTCGGGCTCCGGGTGCACTTGCGCGCGCACCGTTCATGGCCGCGGTGCTGGCCCAGGCGCGCCGCTGCTCGCTGCGAGAAGAAAAAAACTGTCGTTCCGCTCGCGCGGCCCCTTGCTCGACATCCAGCTGCCAAGCCTCCAGCTGCTCCGAGGCAGCTTAATGATACTCGCTGTAAGACGGTGCCCAAGAGAACCAATCGGGGCCATGTCGGAATTGCTCGGGGCCTTGAGACACACAACGCAATAACCCCATGCACTCCACAAGTTCAGACAACCGCTTTCTCATCCCCCCCCGCCCTCTGCCCTCGACGCTGCCCGAGGGGGGCGGCCCTCCCGAGACGCGCGCGGTAGGTGCCGGCGCCGCCTCTGGCTCGGTAGTGCATCCCAAATACGGCGACTCGCGCTGCGCATTGCGATGCTCGGCGAGCTCGAGCTCAACCGCGCCGACAAGGCGACGTAACCCTCTCCGCGTCACGCAACAAACCCCCATGGCGCCTCGGCCCCTCCCCGTCCTGCGACGGGCCCGGCGGGGAAGAGGCGCGGCGCGCGCGAGGCATTCACCTTCTCGCTTAGCGGACAGCCGCAGAACCTGACTACAACTGGCCAGTGCGTCTTGACCGACGCCTTCCTGCCAATGAAACACGAGTGCGCATCCGCAGCCAGCCCAACAGACATCGCGAAATCCGCCGACCCCTTGGGGATCATCGGCGTGTGAGATGCTTCCCCCTCCCCAAACCCCTCCCCCGGGAGCCCGGTCCGGTCGATTTGGAGGGGGGGGGGGGGGTCGAGCGCGAGCGGGGGGGGTCCGGGACGAGCGACTCACGGGGCTTTTCCGGGCCCAAGAGGGCCTCAAGACGGGCCAAGAAGCCCCCAAGAGGCCTCCAAGACGGCCCACGAAGGCTCCGAGACGCCAAACGACCGGTCCAAGACGCCCACGATGGCCCCAAGACGGGCCAAGAGGTCTCCCAGACGGCCCCCGAGGTCCCAAACAAGCCTCCCAAGAGGGCCCAAAGACTCTAAAATTGTTGATTTTCCCGAGTGTTTTTCGACGTTTCTTGCTTTCCCGCCTTTCCGGCTTCCCGACGCTCCAAGACGGCCAAAGAGGCCCCAAAGATAGCCCCAAGATGGCCCAAGAGGCCCCCAAGACGGCCTCCAGACGGCCCAAGACGGCCCCAAGACGGCCCAAGAGGTCCCCAAGACGGCCCAAGAGGGCCGATTTGGAGGGGGGGAGGGGGCCGGGACGAGCGCAGCACGGCCGGGACGAGCGGTTCCAGGGCTTTTCCGGGCCCAAGAGGGCCTCAAGACGGGCCAAGAAGCCCCCAAGAGGCCTCCAAGACGGCCCACGAAGGCTCCGAGACGCCAAACGACCGCTCCAAGACGCCCACGATGGCCCCAAGACGGGCCAAGAGGTCTCCAAGACGGCCCCCGAGGTCCCAAACAAGCCTCCCAAGAGGGCCCAAAGAGTCTAAAATTGTTGATTTTCCAGAGTGTTTTTCGACGTTTTTTGCTTCTCCGCCTTTCCGGCTTTCCGACGCTCCAAGACGGGCAAAAAGGCTCCAAAGATAGCCCCAAAATGGCCCAAGAGGCCCCCAAGACGGCCTCCAGACGGCCCAAGACGGCCCCAAGACGGCCCAAGAGGTCCCCAAGACGGCCCAAGAGGGCCGACTTGGAGGGGGGGAGGGAGCCGGGACGAGCGCAGCACGGCCGGGACGAGCGGTTCCAGAGCTTTTCCGGGTCGAAGAGGGCCTCAAGACGGGCCAAGAAGCACCCAAGAGGCCTCCAAGACGGCCCACGAAGGCTTCGAGACGCCAAACGACCCCTCCAAGACGCCCAAGATGGCCCCAAGACGGGCCAAGAGGTCTCCAAGACGGCCCCCGAGGTCCCAAACAAGCCTCCCAAGAGCGCCCCAAGATTCTAAAGTTGTTGATTTTCCATAGTGTTTTTCGATGCTTTTTGTTTTTTTCCGCCTTTCCGGCTTCCCGACGCTCCAAGACGGGCGACGAGGCCCCAAAGATAGCCCCAAGATGGCCCAAGAGGCTCCCAAGACGGCCTCCAGACGGCCCAGGACGGCCCCAAAACGGCCCAAGAGGTCCCCAAGACGGCCCAAGAGAGCCGATTTGGAGGGGAGCGGGAGGGCCCGGGACGAGCGCAGCACGGCCGGGACGAGCGGTTCACGAGGCTTTTCCGAGCCCAAGAGGGCCTCAAGACGGGCCACGAAGCCCCCAAGAGGCCTCCAAGACGGCCCACGCAGGCCCCGAGACGCCAAACGACCGCTCCAAGACGCCCAAGATGGCCCCAAAACGGGCCAAGAGGTCTCCAAAACGGCCCCCGAGGTCCCAAACAAGCCTCCCAAGAGGGCCCCAAGAGTCTACAATTGTTGATTTTCCATAGTGTTCTTCAAATACCCCAGCATGCCCAATAACGGATCAGCCCCAGTTTCGAAATCCACAACTTACGTCCAGCATCCGCCGACCCCGCAGAAATCGAGGTGCCGTGGCGCTTCCATCTAGTGAACACGCCTCCAATTTGGCACACCCCGCACGCGGCAACTTGAATGAAAGGCCCCAAAACCCGAGTATACGCGCGGTTCCCCGCGAACATTGGGCACGTCCCTCATAGATTTCGTGGCTCCACGGCGCGCTCCAACCATAGCCCCAGTACCCGCGGTCCCGTAAACTTCCAACCCCAAGCGCACACACACGTCGATCGTGTCGTGGCTCCAGAATACGTCCACCGTGGGGCCCAGTGGGAAGATTCGCATGCAAGTATACCCCATGCCGGCACACCCTTTGCACGCGCCGTGGCCTCGCACATGGCCAAGTTGACCCATAATGACTCCTGGACAGTCCCCCAAAAAAACTCCCGACCGCTACCGAAACGGCTCGAAGACATTCCCGAGCCCAACCTGGCTCCATTATGCCTCTCAGATGGCCCCAGATGAGACCACGACCGCCCGCGGTGTCGCCGTCCGCTCGGACACCCCCGCGGAACTGCCCGAGACCCTCTGGCAGTGGCGGCGAACAGACACCAAACAAATATCACTCGCCTTTTCACCCCTTCGCAGCTTCTACTGCCCCCCGATTGGCATAAATAAGGGGTCGGCGGTGTGGCGTAAGCCTAAGAATAATTTTTCGTTCTCCACTGGCGAGCCGTTGGCCAGCATGCGTGCGAGTCTGGGCGCGCGACGCGACCGCGAAGACGCGCTGGCCAGCCCAGATCCGTTAACTGCTCGGGCGTTGCGTCCCAGTCGCCACCCGAAGTGAGCGGGGGGCCCCAGGGGTGCTGAAGTTCCCCAACGCGGCTAGGGACCTCTCTGCCGACGGCCCCCAGCGGGTCTCCATCTGGCAGGTGCAGCGCCCCAAGCACAAACCCTCCTGGCATGTATGCATTGACCCACCTCAACTGTCTCAGGATAAGGTAACTGGCGCGGGGGGGCAGGCGACAGTGACATACCGAAGTGCGACCGCGCGCAGACCGCCGCGCCTGACGAAAGACCGCCTGCCCCAGTCACAATAGAGGCACATATGCTGGCATGCCAGGCCCTCAACCGTAACATCGCTCCGCGCTCGATCCTGTGATTCTCCTCAACGTTGACCTCCTGCAAAAGTGCGACCTGGCTGACGCGCCCCCCGTCCAAATTCTTGTTTCGCGGCTTGCCGGGGCGTGGCGCCGCAGGCTTCAACCGAAAAATATGCGCACATGTCCTTCCTAGTCCCAAAACCTTCCTGCTCGGGCTGACCCGCCGAGGCCTTCCACCGCGAGCAGGCCTTCTTCAAAGTCGGCCCCGCCTCTGGGGCGGGGTGGGAGGGCTCGGGAGGGGTCGGCGCAGGCGGGGCACCAACCGGCGGGGGGGCCACGAGAGACGGCACGCGGAAGAACGCGCCAGGAGGCCCAGGCGCAGGCCACCCCCCCACGAGGCCCCCCAAGGCCCGCGGCTAGCGCCCCCCCTGAGGCCAGCCCCACCCCCCAAGAGGATTCAGGCCAGCCTCCAACTGACCCAAACCTTCACTCACCCCAATACCCAGCCAGGGTGACGACGGCCAGGCAGCGCAGCAGGCTGACAGCGCGCCAGACTCCTCAGAGTCCGCAAGCCAGCTGCACCTCGAGTCCTGACGACCAACAACCCACGAGGCAGCCGTACTCGTGGTTCCAGTCGAACTCGGCTGCCCTCTCCAGCGATCTCCGCCACCCGACTTCCAGAGGGCAGCCGGGGCCACGCACTCCAACGTGTCCCAATCGCATCGACGATGCGACTGCCCCCTGGGCCTGCGCTGGCAGGTCGCCGAGCGGGTTAGGAGCACGATCCCTTCCCAGCGCCAGGGCCCTTGCCAGGCTGCGCTGCGCTGCTGCTGCGCTGCTGCTGCGCTGCTGCTGCTGCTGCTGCTGCTGCTGCGCTGCTGGGCTGCGCGCCCTTGCCCTCCCCCTCGTCGAAGATGCGGCAAGCCATGTCGCGGGAATCCTGGTCAACCACCTCGAGGGGGTCGTGGGGCGTGGGCAGATCGTGCGCACCAGCACCAGCTGCTCCAGTAGCCGCCGCACATGCTGGATCACCTGCATCACAATTAGCTCCTTCGCCAGCACCGTCCGTTGGTTCAGCACGCCTGCGCTTCGCCTTGCGGCGCTCCCGAACATCCTCTTGGTCGCGCTTGGTCTGCTCCGCCTTGGCTTTGAGCTCTCCGAACAGCGCCGTCGCCGTCTCCTCGAACCGTGCTTTGAGCTCGGTCTCGCGCGCCTTGGCCTGCCTCTTGTCATCCTCTGTGGCATCCACGAGCTCTGCCAATCCGAACAATTCCTCGCCGCACGTGAGCTCCCACTTGGCCGGGTCACCCAAAATGATGTAGCAAGACAGAAGGCCGCCTTGCTGTGCGGCTTGACACCTCGTGCAACTCCGCGATGGCGTCGCGGTGCTGCTGCTCCTGCGCGGCTAGCTGCTCCATGGTGCGGGAGAGCGCCGCCTTCTTGTCTCGCAGCTGGCCCTGCAAGGCAAACTACTCCTCCGTCCGCAGCTCGACAAGCCCTTCCGAGGTCTTGATCGTCCTGATCGTCTTGAATGCTGCGTCCGCCCTGTGCTGTGGGGCGGCTTAAGCTCTTTGGCAACCAGGAACTGCTCATCATAGGACAGCATGCGTGGGAGTGCGACTTCCTGGCCAGCTGCAATGCCTGCCGCACCTCCTCCACAGACATGTCGGGCGAGGGGTCGGAGGACTGCACCAGACCCACAGGCATAGGCATGCCGCCGCCGCCAAGCCCAGGAGGTTTCTCCACAGTGTCGCTGCCTTTGCCCTTCTTGGACTTGCCCGCCCCTGCGTCGGCCACGGGCGGCTTCCCACTCTTCCAGTGCGCGCTGCAATGCTTGCACATCGCTGACTCCCAGGGTCTTCGCGCATCCACACTGCGTACACTTCCAAAACCTGGCTGCTGCACCATGAGAGGGGACATAAAGAGAAGGAAACCTTGAAGTGCGGTGACGCGAGAAGACCTCCCCACCCTGGGCAGGGCTTCTGGTCGAGGAATTGGCCGAGGTCCCTCAACCACCTCGAGCCCCAACCCCCTTGAGCCAAAGCTTGAGCCAAATGGCTACGGACGACGACCTCCGCCTCCTCTTCCTCCTCCTCTTCCTCCTCCTCGTCCTCTGCCTGTGATCCCCCCTCACCTGTACGGTGAAAGGGCGGGGGGGAGAGGTGGAAGAAAGAGGAAGACTCAGACAAGGGAGAGAATGCGTAGGACGACGGCCCTATGACACCACGAAACACAAAAGAGGAGTGGAGGAGACAACCTTGAGCAGAGAAGAGGAGTGGAGGAGGATCAGGAAGAGGAGGAGGAGGAGGAGGAGGAGGAGGAGGAGGAGGAGGAGGAGGAGGAGGAGGAGCAGCTGGAGGAGGAGGAGGAATTGAAGGGGAAGAGGGATGGGCAGCAGGATGATGCGGGAATCATTCGATCAACGCACACACTTGAGGGCCCCAGGTTCTGGGACAGAGCAGCCGAGGACGTCAGGGTAACGTCTCGTATCCGCCAAACACCGATCCCAAGACCACCGTGACCAGCTGCCCAAGCTGCGTCTGGCCGTGGCGACAAGGGGAGCAACCGACGGCTTACAACTTGCCGGCACACCTTGGAAAACAGTGAAGCCGCTGCCGCCGCCCACCCGCCGTGAAGAGACAGGGCGGGCGCGCCTTCTGGCCCCGCGGTGTCAGACAGACGGCGGCCCTTGGCGGGCCTCAGAAGGGGCTCATCATGCGGGTAGCCCGAGCTGCCAGCGCAAGCCATCGGCGGACCCGATGCCCTGGGGCATGCCCGGCCAGGGGGGAGGCCGTGGCCTTGTGAAGACCCTAAGTTTTTGTTCCGCGCTTGCGGTGTCGAGGGCCACCGGAAACGATCCGCGGTGGAAAGCCGGCCCCTGAGGCAGGGGCCCGGAACTCCAAGGCCCCGCACACATTGGGAAGGCCACAGCACCGGAAGCATGCGAGGAGTTCATGAGGCTCGCTCCCAGCCCCCCCCCCGAGATTGGCAGCAGGAGCTTCGGCCACAGTGTGCTCTGCCACGTCAGGCTCCCCGCGCCAGGCCGCTCCTGGGAAGACACCGCTCGCTCTTGCTCCGTCGGCACGAGGAAACCTGCTCAGCGCCGTCCCACACATCCAACGCCCGTCCACCACTCGAACTGCGGAGGTGCGGGCGGGGGCGCCGGTGCGAGGGCGCGGCGAGCTCCCAGCGCCAGCCACTCCTGGGAGGACGCCGACTGCACGTCAGTGACGCTCCCAGCTGGGCCGATGCTGGGCTGAGGCTCGGGATCGGCGCATACGCCCTGCTAGCAAGGCCACACACCGATAATTGTCCTAAGATTTAGCTTGGCTGGGACCGGCACTGGTGTAGACTTGACGTCCCCCTACTCCTCCTCCGTCGGCTCGAGCTGGGTAGAGAAAGATGTGGTCGGCTGCGCAGTCCCGGGGCCGTGCCTGGCCGACGGAACGGTATTCTCACACGACGGAACGGTATTCTCACAAACGCACGGACGGAGAGAGAAGCCTGGGTGAGCTGGGCCTGACGCGCGATATGGTCGCGCCCGCGTCTCCTCCTCCTCCTCCTCCTCCTCCTCCTCCTCCTGCCGCTCCTCATCCTTCTAAATGATGCACCCACTTCCTTTCTCCTTCTCCTCCTCCTCCTCCTCCTCCCCTCTTCCCCTGGTCTCGCCGCGCTTGCTTCAAGAAAGCCGTGCTGCAGGGGCTGCGGGTAGACGATTGACATTCTGTGCCCCCGCCCCCCCCCCCCCCCAGAACTTGCGCCATAGATGCCGAGGTTCCGCAGGAAGGCAGAAGGATGTAGGGAATTGTAGCCAACAGGACCCGCTGCGCAGCACTCGGCCGTGCTGCCTCCAGTTTGAACACCATCCACAACAATAAAAAGCCCCTGGAGATTTTGGACGCAATACCTACTTGCCTCGGACAAGGACATCTGGGACCCGAGCTGAGGCAAGACTCTGGGATTACGCCCGAAAGATGTTTCGAATGCATATCACGTAGCAAACTTTGGCACCCGCTCGAAATCTCCAATGTCTAAATCGTCCTCGCGCGTCTCCATGCAAAACCTCTACGGGAACCCAAAAACCTTGGACGCAGGAATCTCCTGAGAGAACAAGAGACAACACCATCATTGAACATGCTGGCCTGACGTGCGCGACCGCGCCGCCGCGGGACTGCAAAGGCCGCGGTACGTCAACGATCCGAGCCCGCTGACTTGCGTGCTGCACCTTGCCGGAATGCAAAACATGCCATTTATCGCAACTCCTTTCCGAGGCGCCCCAATGCCACTGGCAATCCTCCTGGGCAAACACAGCCCTCGTCGCGAGCTCCCTCTGCGGAGGGTCGGCGCAATGACGTGTGTTAGCCCCTTGGGTACGCAGTCGAGTCGCATAATAACCAGGATGCGGGGTAAGGATACAAGGGCCTCGGATGGCCATGTTGGCGTTTTCGAGGGGGGGTGGCCAGCGACGGTCGCCGAGGATGGGCCGAAGGGGCAAGGATGCAAAGGCAGCCGTTGAAAGCTGCTCATCCTTACTATGCGACTAGACTGTCTGCTGCAACACATTGATTCCGAGGCGCTTCGTCCCCATGTGACTATGATCTCATGTCTGCCCCTTCTTTATTTCCCCTCCCGTGTATCCCATCCACCAGGCTGGAGACCGTACGGGATTCCCCTTCGAGAGCGATGCTCAGCTCCCACCAGCCCTTTGGGCGTAGGTGGTCTAGAGAGCTTTCTCTTCCAGCCACCCTCTTCCCCTTCGGGGAGGGGCATTGCCCCCATCCACATTCAAACACTATGAATACTACTCTCGGGCCCTCTCCGCGTATTGTTTTTACACAACAGGATTCCCGGGTAATAGGTGTTCGCTTTTGTTTTTGTTTCAAAAGGTTGCTCCCGCTGAAGCGCTTGACCCATTTCTGCGCCTCTGGTTGTTCCAAATCATGTTTCCGCTGCGGCACGGGTGTTTTCGGTTCTTCCAAGTCGGCCGCAAAAACCATCGGAAGTGATCACGTATTCGGTGCCGATTCGTTGATTGTTGGGCCGTAGAAGCCCCCCCAACTTGGGCGCGTCGTTGTTTTCAGAAAACATCAAGCGGGAGCGCCGTTTCTGCTTTTAGAAAGCGATGTTGAAAGCAGAGCCAGCGGGTGCGCTCCATCAGCCCCGCCTTGTGTGGAACTTTTCGGCGAGCCCAAGGAGCTAGACATGGAGCTACGACCCCAGACCGGCCCAGACCTCTCGAAGGCGATCCACTTACCCTCCAAGGAACCCGGCGCCATGCCATGACATGTTGTGCGGAATTGTGTTCTGCGCCGCTGTGCGATACCGTGTTCTACGTTGCAACGCTTTGTGATGCAATGCTTCACTGCGAAATGCCACGCCATGCTATGGCATGCTACGCTCTGCCGTACTCTTCTACGCCATGCTTCGCGTACCCTCTCGCGATCATTGCGCTGCTCGACATCCGACTGAGCGAATAGAGAGGATATCTACGCCATGGTAAGGGATGGGAGGAAGCAGTAGGACGTCAGACATGACGCAAGCGCACCTAGCTTGCCCTACCCCCTCCCCTGGACCCGGAGGGGGGGGGTCGCGGGTCGTTGGAGCGTCCAAGATGGCCCAAGATGGCGCTAGGAGGGCCTCTGAGAGCTCAAGATGACCTCCAAGATGGCTCCCCAGATGCTCCAAGAGACCTCAAGAGCGCTCCGAGACGGCCTCAGGTGGCCACGGAGCCTCCCCAGGAGGCCGCCAAGAGGCTAAAAGCACTCCAAAGCCTAAGACAAATCGATGTGTTTACTTTCTCGCCATTTCGCTTCCGATGGCCTTCCGAGGCCTCAAGACAGCTCCAAGAACGCCCATAAAGGGCCCCAAGAGAGGCCCAAGAGAGCCCCAAGACGGCCCCAAGAGCGCCCAAGAGCGCTCCAAGAGCCAAGAGCGCTCCAGTAGGGGCCCAAGAGGCGATTGTTGGGGCTCTCGAGGGGGGGCCGCAACTGGAGCTCCCATCTACTTGTATCGATCTCCTCCAAGCCCAAGAGCGCCTCAAGAGGGCCCCAGGAGGCGCGCAGGAGGCCCCAGGAGACGCCCAAGAGGCCTCCAAGAGCGTTCCAAGACGGACCCTTCTTCTGCGTGCTGTCCGCTTCCCTGATCGAGGCAACTCCTCTGGGTATCGTCTCCGGATGGGCTGGTGGGGTTACGCGAGGCGTCAAGAATTGTCACGGTTTTTGCCCCACAAGAAGCTCTGCCATCTGGTCGCCCGATGCACTGAAGGCTCTTCTCGATGGCCAAGGCGGCCCCACTACGGGGCCCGAGGCGAGCTCGAATTTTGGATCGTTCCCAACCATCCTCGGGACATATGCTAGTTCAATGTTGGCATGCCTTGGTCCCACTACTCGCCTCCGAGATCGGCTCTGTGGCCCTCCAAGAACACAATATTTCGCCCAGCTTCGCCGACAAGCTGGGATCGGGGAGACGTAAGACTCGGGTACGGAGGACTCGGGTTGGCCTGACGGGGACCATCATGAAAATGACGAGACCAAATCCGAAATTTGACGCGGGCTCCCGCTGCAGACATCCCACAGAAGCCAAACCATCAAAATCCAGGACGCGCTCGTCAAAAAACTTAGGCAAAGCCGAGTTCCGGCTTGCTCGAGTCTTACGTCCCATGGGCGCCTTTCGCGGCAATGCTTCGGGCTTGTCTGTGGCATCCTCCCGCCTGCGATTCTCCACGCTGTCTCGGACACGCAAGGGCAAATGTTGGAACGACGACTTGCCACACCCTGAGCCCCAAACGGAACCCAGCCCGGTCCTGGGCTTGATCTCGGACGCGGTCGGTCGGGGCTCGGGGCCAACAGGGGGATGCTCGCGCCTGGATGCCCAGACATCCTCCAATCTGTTTTTATCCGCGGTCCTAAAAGTCCCATCCCCTTCCTCGGAGATAGCTTTTTCGGCCCGAATCAATGTTTGATGGTCCCAGGGACCGATGACGGGCCCCAGAGGCCGAAGCCGAGGAGAAACGCCCAGATTGAAAAAACAGACTCTCGGAGATATTGATACACGAATCCGAGCAGGAGCAGCAGGAGGAGGAGGAGCGAGGGTGGCACGAGGCTTCTGCAGGCCCTCCGACCTTGGCGGCAGCGCCCTGGCGCTGCCCACCCGCTCGAGGGCAAGGCGCCGCGGACGCCGCGGGCGCCAGCGACGCGCCCTTCCGGGGCACCGGCAGGCGAGGCGGGTCCGCAGCGGCGCCCGCACCCAGGCGCTCCCGGCCGGGCGGGGCGAGGCTGTCCAGCCTCGGGCAGCAGCTGAACTCGGCACTCGGCCAAGCTGGAATCTTGAGGCCCTGGAGTCCTGGGCCCCACCTGTCGTCCAGGGCCGGGGGCACAGGGGTCCTGGGCCCTCCCTGGAGTTTCGGGCCCAGGAGTCCCGGCCCCTCCCTGGGATCTAGAGCCCAGGAGTCCTGGGCACCCCCTGGAGGCTGGGGCTCAGGAGCCCTGGGCACCCCTGGAGTCTGGGGCCCAGACTCGGCCCTGGCCGAGTCTGGCCCGGGTCGAGTTCAGCTGGCCTGGCCGCGTCTCGCGTGGCCGAGTCTTGCTATCGTCCCTCAGGGGGCCCTCGACTCCCCACTCGGCGGCGCGCCCGGGGGGGGGGGAGGGCTCCGAGGGGGCCGGCGCTCTCGGCAGGCGGCGGGGCTTCTCGGGAGCCCCCTGCGCCTCCTCCGAGGCCACGGGCGGCTCCTCAGAGGACGCGATGCCATCTCCCTCTTGTCGGGGGTTACTGAGGGTGCCCCTGGCCCACGGTGCCCCCAGCTGTTCGCACATTTCGAAGCCCCTGGGGCCCCCTGGGCCTCGTGAGGGGTGCTCTGGAGGCCGCGGGGTGCTCCGTGGGAATCCTGGGGGGACCTTGGGCCAGGGC